AAAGCTACTTCCGTCCAATTCCCTCTCATTGCCGCTATCTTTCTTTTGTACTTAGTAGGCATCTAAAATAAGTTCGAAAATAATATAATTATTATTGCTTAGTTGGTATAGCGTCTGGCACGTTTGCTAAAAGACGTCGGGTCGAATCCGGCCGGACTGAAGGAATTTTTTTCTGAATGTTCGATCTTTGTATTAATAATTATCCACAAACTAGTGGAGTAGTTTCTCAAAAAATAATTGAATATCAATTCATTAAAAATTTAACGAATGTAACAAACCTACTTTATGTAATAGACGGTCTTAAGGCAGATTGTTCACTTTTAGTTCTTTAAGAATCCGCTAGATGGCATTGACCCATTTGGCGTTATTTCTGAATCGCGGTGTTAATGTGAATCGTGATTTTCCCTCGAATGATGACTACTCGACCACAATTTCGTTGATGTGAAGAGAAATTTGAGAATGCAGAGAGTTCAGTAAGGCAACCAGGAGTTGAGTCCCTTCTTGGGAACTGCTATCCGGATCTTCTGATATTTCGTACGCTCATTTAGGGGGAAAGAATTGCCCATCATATAGGGTGAAAAACCTCATCTCGACTGAACCCCCCATCATATAGGATGAAAAACTTTATCACGACTGAACCTTTACACTAATAAAATTATTTTATTAATATTTTAGACCTCGGTAGTCGGTATAAGTTGGCTATATGGCTATCTTACACCGATTTTCATTGGCCATCTGACCTAATATTCCGGGAGAGATTGCCACATATAAAATTTAAACAAGACACACGAAATTTTGAGGTTAGGACTAAGTGACAAATACAAAATTACTCCATATTTTGATTTTAGCGTTAGTCAAAACAATTAATAAGGATTTTATTTACTTTTTCTTTTATTTTACTGAGAATATTCGGCATACGTTTGCACTTACACACGACGCGATGCGAACTGAGAAATAACTACCGCCCTCTAGTTAGCTGATCATTGAAATATTGCGATTGGCCAACAACCGCAATATTTCAATGATCAATATTGATGATTACCCAACATCACGCAAAGGAAAAAATATTTTATTAATATATGTAAAAATTGAAAAACTTCTAATTATTAAAAATATTTATTACACACAGTTAAACAGTATCTTAATAACCTTTACACGTTTTTGTACACGTTTTTTATAATACTGCTGCTTCGCGTCTATACATTGAGAATTTTTTTTTTTTTTTTTTTTTTTTTATTGCGACTCGACAAAATGACTGCACCGCGCCTGATGGAAAGTGCGAATACAGTCCAGAGATGAGAGTAACGGATGGAAAACACAAATATCTTCACTCCGTCACTATCATTTTGCCGGTCTGGCCAAATGCACTGGATGTACACCAACTGATCCCTGAACGCGATTCGCAAAAGCGTTTCACTGTGGAGGGTTTTCCGCCGTGTGTACTGTGGTCGCTATCCAGTCGGCACAGAGCCTACCACAATGCTAAGCAGATGGACACTTGTGACGCCCTCGGTCGCCTCTTACGACCCCCACGGGCATGTATGGGGAGGCGACAATGTATTCTTAAGCCGTCGCCCCACGGCTATTCGTTTCTGATTTTGACATGTAGTGCAATCGCACCATCAAACACTTTTCTATTATTTTTTTATTAAATTGACTTTGTAATCAATTCCATAGCATTGGTTAGAAGATGATCATCTTCTAATTAGACAAAAATTGTTTGGTTCTCAATTAAACTTCTTTATAACCTGTCAAGTTATGTATGAATACATTATAATAATTATTTTTATTTTATTGACACGTTTTCTTTCAAAATCACTCTGTTTATGACATGTGCACACGACAATGAAAGTTCTCTTATCTACAGGGATAGGCACATTACGGATATTAGACATTGGTTTGAAAATAATTTAGGTAAATCTAAGTTATCTAAAAACAATATTGGACCGCCGTAAATGGACCAGCCTTTACGAATATGCATGCACTATTTGATTTCTATATAAAAGTATAAATTAATCGATGCTCCTATCACCCATGCATATTTATACCTAATTTAAGAGGGAGCAGAGGAAAAATTCCTAATCTTCGGTTTGATTTTAGAGGGGTATATCCACTTTAAAGTTAAAAATAAAATATTGCATGAGTAACTACACGATATATTCAAGCATAGATACTAATCAGAAACATAAAACAATAAAGTTTCCTCGATAGATAAAAATCACGAAATGACCTCTAATTTTCACATTTTTTCGATTCATGCTCGAAATGCTACAGGATATTAGGACAAAAATTAGATAATTAATTATATTTATGCATGATCGAGAACGTCACTACGGGTTTTGTTTTAATCCCTTTAGTTTTAGAGTTATTCCGCTAAAACGAATTTGGTACTTTCAATGCGCAAAATTCAACATCTGTCGCATGTCACGCGAACTTCAGGCATATATTTGTTTCACAAATTTGGGCGGAACCAATGTCAAAACTTTTTTGGCATGCTCCCTCTTAAGAAACTCATTTCGATATAAACTGGCATCAAATACGAATTTATGTCGAGGTTTTGTGTTCCGAGTGAACCTCAAAAAGTATTGGGTAAATAAATTACCTGTGAAAAGATCCATCTTATTTCTTTTTGGGAACAACTTTTACATTGTGATGACATTTTGAAATATAAAATAACTGATCACTTGTGACGTGCAAACAATGCGACGCTGTGCTTAGTACTGACGCGAGTTTATATTAGCTTATGAATTTGTATTTGCTTTGGTGGCTTCACTTTCGTATTCGGCGCGCTCCATTTGCCTATTGTTTTGTAATCTGAAGTATGGTTGTGTTAATCCAATCGCGCAAATTCTCTAAAATCGAGAAAAATGCCTTACTGTGCTAAAATGGAAATCGCACCAAATATATTACCCGTGGTGGTATTTCATATCATCGGTAAAACTTATTTTAGTAAATTTTCAATTTTCTGTTTATCGAATTGATTTTTTGTACTGTAACAAACGAAAATAAACGTTATTCCAAAGATATCTTTCCAAAAATATCTTTTGGAGAACTAAGTAAACATCTCTAATTTAAAACGTTACCGTAAAAATGTTTCATGAGTGCTTTGTTAATTTTAAACTTACTTGATTAAAGTAAAGTTCATTATACAATGTGTGCGTTAAAGAAGACATCTGTTGTCGAGAAGATACTGCTTTCTATTCGTTCAGATGTTAGCCATTCGTCGTAGTTCAGCTACTGGCCGCAAGATGGCAGCACATGGAATAAAATTTCAATATAAAATCAAAACGTCGTAACCTGCAATAAAGGTATTGCACTTTCAACTTTATAGTTTAAATTAAATGAACAGTCCAGAATTTGTTACATTTTTTAAATTACAAACAAACGACCAATCATTATCACGATATCATTGTTTTTTTCGTTTGTTTGCGTGCTTTGGCGACAGCGGTTCGGATAATAATTAATTAACTGCCTCCATGGCCGAACGGTTACCATGCCGGATTGCCACGCAGAGGTCCCAGGTTCGATTCCCGGGCCAGGAGAAATATTTGTATGGCCTACATTTATTTCTCTCGTGAGTTTGGGTGTAATTTGTGGTTGTCTATGTGTGTGTCCATGGCACCCACGACTCAGGGTTTCCCTAGTGCGGGGCTATGTTGATTGTGAGCGTTATTATTATTATAATAATTGAGACTTACGACACTTCCATTGTTTTTTCTTCCGTGCTCTAGGCTAATACTAAACACGATTTATACACGTAATGGTACGTTTTAAGCAATTTGAACATGCGTCTACCGTCAGAAGTCTCAACTCCGGCGCAACTCACGAACGTTGCCGACCAGTGGCGGAAACCGCTACTACTAATCGTTCGCAAAAAGCTAGTGCGAATTTCGTTCGCTCTAATTGAGTGCAGCCTGTTATTTGCTACAAGCCCTCGAGTATATAACCAGAAATAGACACGAAATGTCATTTAATTTGTTCGAAACCTATTCTGCCAAATCATTAAGGTTACAACAGCGCTACTATTGGCCAGCCCGAATTTGAAACAATTGATGAGTGTCGTCGTTTCACTTCAAATCGACCAGTTGAGCTTTGCTATAATGGACTTAAATTTAAAAACTATATATTTAATATTTAAATTACCTATGAAATGTGATCCCGTTTGTTTTGTTATTAGATGTTTTTTAGTTTTCCCCACACCACCAAATGGAACAGCACGCCATTGTTAGAGATATTATTATTACAATAAATACAGAATATTTTTGGAATATACGGAGACATATGTACAGGTCAGCTGTTGGCGCAGTTCTATTTCGGCTTTCTAATTTGTGACTTCCATTTGGCCCATTCGCCTGATGAGTTGCCAAGGTGGATGGCCCTTAATTCGTCTCTGTTTCTGGTTATATACTCGATGCTATAAGCTTATTACCTGGCGCACGACCTGTTCGTTCCGTTACTTCATATCATGAAATAAAACGTATTTGTAAATTAATACATGATATTTTTTATTACAGTATGAAATAAATTTTGAACAACACCTAGAATTTCAGAGTAAATTAAGTCAAACGCCTATGTTCAAAAGGAGCCACGAAGAATTTATGAAGAACCCATTTCTCTGGTGTCTTTACCTAGTGGATAAAATGTTTATTCCTATTGGGTAAGTATGGGAGCACAGCAAGTTAAAGTATGACTCCTTGTCAAGGAGTTCGCGTCTAGAGAAGTACTGCCACCTATTTCTGCCTCCAAGCGGTAATGTTAGCATTACTGTGTTCCGGTTTTGAAGGGGAAGGGTTTAGGTGATGTTATTGGCACGGGGGACTTGTCAACTTATGTCTCAGGGTGTCGGGCGCAGTGGCAGTGCCCCTCAGGTCTTTGAAATTTAAAGCTCTTACCTTACCATCAGATGAACGACTTCTTCGTCCAGTCATTTGATATAATTAAAATAAAAAAAGAGCAATGCCAAATTTTCAAATTAGTAACCACGCACTTCAATTACTTTGAAAACAGCTTGTTAGAAAAAAACGACAACTCCAAAAGTATAGCAATTAATTGATAACTAACGACCCGGTAACGCAAAGTTTCCATTTCCATAATAATGGAAAAGCACAGTAGTTAATGATAAAATCAAAATTTGAGGCGATCCCACCGCCGCGCCGGCTACATCAATTATGTATGCTGTCATACGCAAATATGCAGGGTTATCACAAATTGAAAAAATAAATGTTATATAACGTAATCAGTAAGTAACAATACTACTTATAACTAATAAAAATTGATATGTGCGGCACTTACGTGACACTTTGTATTACGTATGGAAAGCGATAATGTTGTAACACT